CTTTGGAATATTAAAATGTCGGCCCGGCTGAACTTATTTGCTTTTTTACTGCGATTTACTGTTCTCAAACACGAAAGCTAGGCAAAATTTGATTTTTTAGAATTGCCATCAAATTCTGACATTTCTACCAATGTTGTTCCGCACACGTATTTTCTGGACGAATTTCTCTGAGCGAAAATTTAAATTTTTTCTCAACAACTAGTTTTACTTTTAAAAAAGTACGGGCACACAACAAGTGTTTAGTAAGTTTAACTACATAGCAGAAGATTAAACCAGCAACATTTTTGTAAATCACTTACTTTCTATCTGTTTTGTAAGTAGTTACTGCTGCCAAAATTTACTTAATACACCCATTATTTGGTAAGCAGTTTTTTTACAGTTTACTTTTTATTCCAACAAAATGGCCTTCAGTTGTAAACACCAACAATACCAAGCAATTGAAAAATCTCTTTTGAAAACATGAAAAGCATTTAAATTTGATCATTAAAAGCTTCATTTCATGTCTTTTGCCGAGATCTGTATGTTGGTATTTGTCTCACGGGACCATTATTGATGGATGATGAATCAGTTGGACAAAAACAAAAAAAGAACAACAAAGCTCAAAAAGACATTTGCGTTAATTTTGCCAGTCTACGGCTGGTGTCGGCTCTTGCATACCTAATGACAAAAAGAATACAACCAACGACTCGTACAGTAACTTGGACATGGAAACACAAGCAAGCAAATGATATTCAGTCAAAGCTTGTACAAAAATTTCACTTTCGCTTTTACAAATGTTGCGGCTGCTTTGGGATGGAGTTTCTTTTTTTCGTTCGTTTTGTTTCGACCTTTCTTTTGGTTGGTTTGCCTTCACGTTTGCTTCTTGATTTGAAATTGTGACTTAATACAGGCTGGAATATTATGTTAGAGTGTAAGATAAACACACACAGAAACACAAACACTTATGCAGGCACATGTACTGTTATGTATATGTGCCGTCATGACAAAAATATTACCATTGCCGGTAATCGTGTAGACTAGCTTCGAATGTATCTTTCTTTACATCAGTCATGCCATGCTTTCTTTACCTCCTCTATCATCCTCGGAAACGTAATGATAAGACCCGAAATCTAACCGGTTTGCTTGTTCCCTGGATTTGAGAAGGTGTGTAAATTTATATTTTTCTTTTCATATCTCTCTTCTTCTCTTTCTTACTCTTTCAAGTATATTTTCCTTTTGTATTTTTCATTTCGTATGCGGAAATAATGTGCAAAAAATTCATGACTTTTGGACTTTGGTGTGTGTGTGTTTCTATATTTTTTTTCTATTCGAGTGCCCAAAAACAACAATATTTGAAATGCTAACATCATCACTGTATTCAAAGGTGTAATGAGAGTTTTTTTCTATTATATTTCATGTAAATAAACAAATAGAGAAAATAAGGAAAATTTTGGGAGATTTTTAGTTGAAATTTTGAAGAAAAATGTTTGAAGTTAGTTTAGAAATAGAAGTGCGATCGGTCGATCATTTCAAATCAATATTTTCACACAAAATCACAGATAAATTGACATAAGATTAAAGGTATTTGAAAATTTAATAATTTGTACAAATTGTTTCTGGAAACTGTTGGATAACACAAAGAGAGAGAGAGAGGGAGGGAGAGAGTAATCTTTGCTATTGTGTCACCAGTGTTGCCAATATTTTTCTGTCTCTCGTCCTCAAAATCAAAAAAACGTTTTCCCCAAATCTCCTCAAATTTGATTCAATTTCCTCAAAAAAAAAAAAAAAAAAAAAAAAAAAAAAAAATCCCCAAACATTAAAAAAAAACGAACAGAACTATTTATTTGAAAAAATATTTGTACATAAAATTCAAATTATAGACTAGTTTATTATTTTTATTTAAAAAAAATCCTCACAAATTCCACATTGTTTTAAAAAGATCCCCACTAAATCCTTAAGTCCCCAACTTGAATTTTTCGTCCCCAATTTGAAAAAAACATCCCCTTTTTGGGGGAAATTCCTCAATACTGGCAACGCTGTGTGTCACTATGAGTTTGAAAATTGAACATTTGAAGATGATGTGGCACCATTTGTAAATTTTAAACACTAATCTAAATACTTTAATTACTTTTCATATATTCAACTTTCTACATTATATTATAGCGTGAAATAATTCATTTTTAACTGTAAAAATTTACATTTCATTTCGGGTTTTTCAAAAATTAGATAGGTATGTGATAGGTACATTTTGTTTTCTTGTCGGATTTTACTTAAGACCAGAGTACACATTATGTTAAAGTCATACGTAAAGCGCGATTTTCTACGTTTATCTTTTGCATTTTTATAGCATACTTTCAGACGCTCCCCCAGAATTTGTAATCTGAAAAGAAATAGCATTATAGCATACAATAAATTAATATAAATATACTAAAAGTAAAAAATAAAATAAAATACAAGTGTATTTTATGGCAATTTATAATATATAGTTTATGAAATACAGCGCAACTTTTAGACTTGGAAATTGTTGGCGTCAACTCCTTAAAGTATGCCATAAAAATAAAATATGAAAAGTCGATTTACAAAGAACTCTAACACCATGTGTGTATTCGGGTCTTAAATTACATTCTATAATTTTTTGTAAAATTTGTCCCTAATAGTGCAAATTTTTCTAGCAGAAGCTATTGAGCAAAATCCCACTTATCTGCACAACAATGCAGATATCTTCAATGTTAGGTAAGCGACTCTGCGGGCCAATATTCTACTAATTTAGCATTTTTTTTTGCTAGGTAAGCAGTCCCATGCACCCGAAACAAACTAACTTTGGAGCTAAACTTGAGAGAGGGAAACCCAAAATGGCTTTCTTTTCTGCTATTTTTTATTTTTGCTAAGAGATGGTGGTGAACACACCAAACTACAGATTAGTTCAACAGGAAAACCAATCCGCTATGATTACAGAATTTATCATATAGACTGCTCAGCATACACTCCTAATTTCTGCTAATAAATCTGTCAAGTAATAAATTATGACATTTGACAGGAAAAAATACTCGTTTATCAGCCAAAAGGAGATAGAAACAAAGTGTTTTGTAAGAAAAAAAAAATAGGAGAAAACAAGGAGATTTTCATGAACATTTGTACGAAACTTTTTCTTTGTCAATTTTGCTATTAACAAGTAAAAAGCAGCTAATACTCTGCTCCATTTAGAAGGAAATTGTAAAATGTAAAAAAATCTATTAAAAAATCTGCAATAATTTCAAAATTCCAAATACCGGGTGTTAAAGTTATATGGAGCTATACTAAAATGTGGACTTAAATGGTCAATTATCTGCCAGATAATGTTCCGCCAAATACCAATTATTGGTAAGAAGTTTTTTTACAGTGTACTGTATAAATGGTCAATTATCTGCCAGAGAAGGTTCCGCCAAGTACCAAATTTGAGATGTTTCTTTTAAAAATGCAGCTTAAATCTTTCAAATACCGAATATCTGGAGGTACAGTCATAAACTTGGACTTATATAGAAAGTTCTATGCAGGGAAGTTTATTACACGCGGGGAACACAAAGTTACATTTGAGGTACAGTCATATGAGGCCTATACCAAAATATGGTACATACCAAAAGTCCAGCTGACATAAAATACAGGGTGAGATGAAAAAATTGCAACCAACTTTAGACTGCTGCCATTTTAAAGTCACTCGTCCGACAGCTGTTAAAATTATTGCAGTGACAGCTCATTACATTGTTTACAAGCGTACAAAAGCATCTTGGTGAGAATTTTCCAGAAAAAAAGATGAAATTCAAGCGTGATAGTGTGATTTCTTTATATTTGGCTGGAAAACAACAAGTGACCATCGTTAGAGAACTCCAGCATTTAAATGTGAATAAATCTTTTATGTCTCGTACCATCACTCGTCGCCTTCGGTTGGCCACCAGAACTCAAGCGCCGGCCATGGTGATGGTGTGAGCCTTCACTTCACAGTCGATGGTCGCACTCCGGTCGTATTAATCGACCGTGGAAAATATTCGAAGGCCATAATTCGTGCCGAAGGTGACAAATTCGAACAAATCTAAACTTATTCTAAAATTTGATGCTATTTCCGACATTTTTTGCTTTCATTTAATAAAATTGAAAAAAAAAGAAAACGTAAAAATGATGGCATTTTACTTTGTTGCAGTTTTTTCATCTCACCTTGTACAATAATGAATTGCTCACTTTGTATTCCGTTTATTTGTATTTTTTACAAAACCCCTGATAAGTGTACACTCAAAAATTCATAAGAGTATTTTTCAAAAACCCGTTAAACTTAGTTACACTTTTCACCAATATTCTCGTTTAACGTTTCATTTCGTAAATTGCGTGTAATTCTCATATTTGTTATTATTAGAAAAAAGTTTATTTATTTTAGTTATCTTCTCTTCTTCTTCTATGGTATCACTATTTTTATATGGGTCTCAATATTTGACCAAGTGTGCGAATTTTGTTCCCTCAAAAGCAGTTGAAATACACAATGTTGTACACAATATAGATAACCTAAGAGAAATGGGTGGTGAGAGGGGTCAGTTAGTGGGCTATCTTCTCAACGATGCAACAACGAATATAAAAACCTTACAAAGTAATTAAAACATTCATATTTGCTTAAAGAACTAATAAACGATAGCGATAGAAAGGAACTAATACAACTGTAAAATGTTCAGTAGTAACACAAAACCGCTTCGAAGAATAAAACAAAGTGCAAAACAAAATGTAAATCGCCAAAGCTTTAAGAACTTGAACATGAACTTGAAATGGAATAGAAACAGGAATAATGAAATTGTATGAACAAGTGTGAAATAAAACAGCAGAAAAAAATGTTTATGGAATAAAGGCCAATGCCACCGAGACAGACAATGACCAAAGTCACAGACGAGTACTGTTGTTGGAAAAAATTGTTTCTGTTTCTAATATTTCCTGCATGAGCTATTTGGAATTAATGTTTGCTTTCCCGTAATGGCTAATCGTTATTTGTGTTCTTTTAATTACAGGTAAATCCACATCGAATAGCAAAGAGGTAATTTGTCCCGATGACAAATACAAAGAAGAAGGTGATCTCTGGAATGTTGAGGCTCAGACCGCATTTTTGGGCCCCAATCTGTGGGAGAAAACTCTGCCCTACGATGCTGATCTTAAGGTAACACAAGTTAGTATCATCACCATCGCTCGCTCTGTAGTGGCTGCGTCAGTGTTTTCTTTTTTCTTAGTCAAAATACATAAACTTATTGTTGTACATATAATTTTTCAGAATAAAATATGGATATGGATGGCGGAACAAAAAGAACAAAAGGTCAACATACCCATATTTTAGGCTCATCATACAGTTGTGGTCATAAAAATAGCAAACAGTTAGAATACAATTTTTTTTTAAGATTTAACACTTGCAAAATAACCATATATCAAATCTGTAAAAATTATTTAGGTCTGTACTTTAAGAAAAAGGCTAAGCCTAAAAATATTGCATCACAATTATTATTATACACTCCACCGTAATATGGAGGGCATATTAAGATTGTCATTTTGTTTCTAACACCTCGAAATATACACACGTTTTAGACCACACAAAGTGTATATATATTCTTGATCAGCATAAAATTCTTAATTCCATCTATCTGTCCGTCTGTGGAAATCACTCTAGCTTCCGAACGAATTGATTTAGGTTGATAACGTATTCGTATAGCCCCCATATAACGGTACCTCCCTAAATTCGATATGTTGATGATTTTCGGGATATTATTCACCGGAATCGTTTCAAATTTCGTATTTGCAGTGCATAACGAGTACTACTACCTGGGACGGAAAATTGTGTCTGCAGGTCCATTTGTTCATTTAGCCCCAATATGACAGTACCTCCCCATATTTTGTATTTTTACGTTTTTGTGACATTATTCACTGGAATTACATATTTCAGGTTTAGTATTTGAATATTGTAATGACCTATGACAAAACTTGTTTATGCAGGTCCAAGACTTCGTACAGACCCCAATATAACTAACTATATTCGGTATTTCTAAGATTTCAGGTTTTTTTTTTAATTTCCAAATGCCTCCAAATGGAGAACGGTATTTATAGTTCGACCCGGCCGAACTTACTGCTTTTTTATAACATTTTAATAACATCGTCATTCGATTCTGGATATTTCGGAGGCTACTCCCGATTTCTTCATTTGAACCACAAGTTTTTAATATTTTGATTTCTTAGTTGGTATTTAAATTTCCAATGCGATACTTTCAAATGTTTTAAAGTGTGGGCAAAACGCAATGATAGTGATTTGACTTTTTATGTTCTAGTGGAATAATAAGTTGCAAATGCGTAGTACAATTATTCAAAAAATACTAAATGGTAATAATTTTGAAGCAATGTTGGTGTCTAGGATGGAGGCATGTGGATTGTTTCGGATATGCGTACTATATATTACTAAATTTTGTATAGGGTGAAGATATAGAGCTAAAATACTGAAATTTCATATTGAGGACACTGTAGGCTTCTAGGTTTACAGACTTTGAAATCGATTTGGACATAAAACATGTATGAGGTCCCTTGGATGTAGGTGTGCAATATTGTCCTCGTTCAACATAAAATGAAAGATTTATCGACATTTTGATTTAAAAAGTAAACATTTTCCTATTTTTTATTCCGAAAAAAAATTTTGGCTCGCATGACAATTTGGCCTTCACTCTATGATCTCAAAATCGATTAACAATAGTAACATTTTAATAAAGTAAAACAAACAAATTAATATATTTGATATTTAAATCATTAATTAAATGAAAATTAAAATAATTAGTTGCTATTTTTATGACCAACATTGTAATCCGATTGTTTGTGAAATCGACTACACACGTACAAACATATACCTATAACAGAAAAAAATTGTTCACTATAAATTTTACTAATTAAAATAATGAAATTTACTCATTAAGAAATTTACACCGCCGACTAATGAAGATATAGACGACTACGGAATGTTCTCACAGCTTAGAGCCCATTGAACATACTCATGCTCACGAATTTAAAGATTAGACAATTTTAATATATATTGTGCTTTGATATTATATGACATATTATATAATTACATAATAATATAATAATAAAAAAAAAAAATAATAACTTTGAAAATTTGCAAACAAACATATGAATTCCTTGAAAGCCTAAATTTGCTCTCGAAAACAGCAAATCGACTAAGAAAGCAAGCCAATGAAGTATGTCTATCTTCGCTGTGAGGGAGAAAACTTCCAATGCATTGTCCATATCTTCATTCATCTATGTTTACAAAATTTAACTATTATTCTTTTGATTTGGAAATTTCTTTTCAAAATTAAAACACAAAACTGTTTTCATAAAATTTTGTATTCCAAATGAGTAAATTTTATTACTCAACCCAAACGAGACATCTCTCTCACACACACACACACAGTGTTCACGTGAAATGTTACTAAAATTGATGCTTTTGTAGTAGTGGCATACCATTGCATTTGTTTCATCGTTATTTTGTGTAAAAACATTTTATCAAAATATAAACACAATCGTCGACATTTTGTTTCTAAAAATGCATTGTAAATAACCTAACGTATTAACAATATATAGTTTTGAAATCAGTCACAACGAATTATTTACTTATTTAAGAAAGAGTAGCTTATTTTTCGAAGAAACCCGAAAAAACAAGATCTTCTTCCAAAAGACATTCCCAAAGAGACTTCTTTTCTGAAAAAAATGTGGTAGAAGACCACATAACTTCTTTTTTCTAGAAGATTAAATGGTCAAGGGCCTTATTTTCAAGACATTAAATGGGCAAACTTTTTAATAGAAGCTTTGTCGTCTTCTCTCATTACAGATTACCGTAACTTCTCTCTGAGAGACTAGGTCAACCGCTTTTTTTTAGAAGAAGAAAGATCATCTTCCAAGGGAGGACAAATGGGTTTCTTCCATACGAGAACAGTTGGTCTGCTCTAAAAGTATTTCTCAATTAAAGACCAAATTATATTTTTCGCTAAAAAATTTCAATATGTTCTTTTAGAGAATGCAACAAGTTCTTTTTACGTGAAATGCCAAATGAGATTCTTCGATTTGGTAATCTAGGGTAGGAAACCAAATTATATTTTTCTAAGGTTATGGGAAGTTAATTGACATGTATTTTCCCTATGGCAACTTATCTCGAAGATCTTCCCGTCTACAAGGTGAGATAAAAAAAAACGGCAACCAATTTCAGACTGCTTTCATTTCTAAGCCACTCGTCCAACAGCTGTTAAAATTATTCCAGTGACAGTTCATTATATTGTTTACTAGCGTACAAAATCATTTTGGTGAAAATGTTCCAGCCCAAAAGTTATTCGTGATGGAATTCAAGCGTGATTGTGTGATTTCCTTACAATTGGCTGGAAAACCACAAGTGGCTATCGTTAGAGCACCCCAGCTTATAAATGTGAATAAATCTTTTGTGTCTCGTACCATCGCTCATTACCGTGATACTGGTAGCGCAGCCCGACGTCAAGGAAGTGAATATAAGAAAACAGCAACATCAGCAGAAATGGTTCGAAAAGTAAAGAAGTGACTTGATAGAAACCTGCGTCGCAGTGGCTGAAAAATGGATGAATACATCGCAATATTCCATTCGGCAAATATTAAAAAAAGAGCTCGGGTCAAAGCCATTGAAATTCCAAAAAGTGCAAGAACTTACACCGCAACAGAAAGAAAATAGACTCACAAAAGCTAAAGAGTTGCTTCGCATGACCGAAAGTGGTAAACTGTCGAATTCGGTTTTCTCCGATCAGAAAACATTCGTTGTCCAGCAGTTTGTAAACAAACAAAATTATCGTGTTTACTTGCTAAAGAGGTCAGCTGAAAATGTGCACCTTCGGTTGGCCACCAGAACTCAAGCCCCTGCCATGGTGATGGTGTGGGCCGTTATGGCGGTAGCCTATGGTAGCTCTTCGCTCGTATTATTCGACCGTGGCATCAGAATAAATGACGAATATTATTGCGAAAATATTCTGAAAGGTGTATTAAAGCCTTAGTCACGCAAATATTCTGGCCTCAGACCTTGGACATTCCAAAAGGACTCGGCACCATCGCACTCAGCATGCGCCACCCAAGAATGGTTACAAAATGAAGTTCACCGCTTCATTTCCAGCACACAAAGCCTTAGGCACGCAAATATTTTGGCCGCAGACCTTGGACATTCCAAAAGGACTCGGCACCATCGCAGTCAGCACGCGTCACCCAAGAATGGTTACAAACTAAGGTTCCTCGCTTCATTTCCAGCGCACAATGACCATCAAAATCTCCGGATACCAATCCGTTGGCCTATTGTGACTGGGGTTTTTTATCTCACCCTGTATAAGTTGTAGTTTTTTTATCTCACTCTGTATAAGTAAGCATTTTTACATGTCTGAACATATGATCAAATTCCAAATTTCACAATAATTTAAATCTGCACAAAATTCAGAAAATTTTTGGAAAAAACTTTGGAAAATTAAGTGAAAAGGTAGTAAGTTCGGCAGGCCTAATTTCAAAAAAAAAAAATATTTAAAAAGTAGTGCTATAATCACAAATATGCCGAATGTAGGAAGTTACCGTTATATTGGAGCCTATACGAAGACGTCGAATTTTGGCCATAGGCCATTACGATAATCAAATACAAAACTTGAAACAACTCCGTTGAATAAATGCGCTAAAATCATTAAAATAACGAATATTGGGGGTTACCGTTACATGGGGGCTATACCGGGACCTGGACCTGCATAGACAATTTTCTGTCATAGGCTCGAGTACCTATTAGAAATTTAAATACGAAGTTTGATACAACTCTCGTGAATAATGTCATCGAAATACCGAATATAGTGAGGTACAGTTATAGCAGGGCTATACGAAGACTTGGACCTGTTTGAAAAATTTTCTGTCGTTGGATGTAGTACCCATTGGAAACTTCAAATTCTAAATTTCAAATATTTCCGGGGTAAAGTATGACATAAATAAGCAAAATACCGAGACTATACCAGAACATAGACCTATATTGACAGTTCTATGCAACGACGTCTCTTATATGATGAGAAAACAGCTGTCAATTTACAGCAAATTTGGGTTAATATTTTGAGTAAAATGGGGGCTATTCAAAACTTTTTAATACCAAAATTCCTGTAGACCTATCACAGATCTGAGTAAAATCTCAACAACCTACTTAATTTCGTTCGAAAGCTAGAATGATTTCCACAGACGGACAGAGGGACAGATTAACCGACATCGACATATACTATGTGGGGTCTAAAATGTATGTTTCGAGGTGTAGGGTATAATAATTGGGTCAAACCGGTATTATTTTTCCTATATGAGGGCTATATAAGTAAAACCTCCGACTTCCTGTGTTTTTTCGCTTCATCCATATTTCCTTATGAAAATTATCAGGTTATTACTACGAGACCGCCTTGATCATATGAAGGGCTTCCATGCATTAGAGCTGATCTTTTCAAAATATTATCAAAATCTCTCAATAAGCAATCAAGACTAGCTAATTTTTCACCTTTAAACTTCTCTTTAGTCCAAAGAAGCTGAAAGCTTTCTGAACGTTTGTAAGAAACTCGAAAGTGCCCTATGCAAGAGGCGAGTCTATATAGAAATACTTTTCATGAAATTTGGAAATCCTTTAATATTTGGATTTCCAAATTTCATGAAAAGAGACAATTCTTTAGAAAATGTGTTGCTACCCCGAATTTTTGGACAGACATAGCCAATTTTCAAACTTAATGTAGCTGCAACTTTTTCTCTCTCTGTGTTTAATGGAGAATTTATACTGATCAAAACTTGAATGGAAGGAACACCCGTAATTATCCTCCGTTTTATTGTGGAGGATATAAAAATACACTTCGATGCTTAAAGGAAATTCCAGAAAAAAAAAAGAAATGCATTTTTGGGATAACCGCATTGATTCTTAAAAATAATTTCTTCTGGCTTGATTTCAAATACCAAAAAGAACTATATATTGAGAAAAGGCATTTATTTAGTTTTTTTTTTTATAATTTTTCACACCATCTGAACAAAGAAAAGTGAACTTGACCACCCATGTTGTATTTGTATAACATCTATTTCACAATCACTTTTATTTGAAAATATATATCTATTTCACACGCAAACATTCAAACATATCCTAAATCGAACATTTTTGCTATGCATTTTCTTTTCGTTTTGGCACAGTATGCCGATTTAGATGAATTTCTGTCGGAGAACAATATACCTGATGGCTTGCCTGGTACCCATTTGGGTCATTCGAGTAGTTTGGGTCATCGTTCAGATTCCCTAAGTCATGCAGCTGGTCTGTCCCTGGGACTCGGACACATAACAACAAAACGTGAACGATCGCCGTCACCGTCAGACTGCATAAGTCCGGATACCTTAAATCCACCATCACCAGCTGAGTCAAGTGAGTACCAACCAACGCAAAAAAAATGAACAAAAAAAGAACAGCAAAAGAAAAGACACCAGGTTACCGCTAGAGTAGATAATGATATTGATCACCCCCCTCCCTTTACTTACTTTTGTTTGGTTTCCTTTCCTTTATTCTTGCCTCAATTACATTTTCAATTAAATCCCTGTAAAATAGTTATTTCTTACTAACATTTCTATGGAACAAAATTTGTAAAATTTTTTTGAATTGAACTACATTTTGGTATGGACACAATAGTAATTAGATTTTTAACAAAAACTAAAAAAAAAACAAATAATAAATTCCATATTTTTTATAATTTCATGACGATTTATTTTGGAGTCCTGCAATGAAAAGTTTATGTTTTATTGCTCTTGTAAAATATCTAATAATTATTTACATAAAATATTTAAAGAGACTATACTGAAATCCATCAAATGCTAAATGTTAAAATTGATGTATAAACTGTTATTGGTTGGAAAATGAAAATTCAGGGCCAGTTTAATTATTTTTCGATTATTTGAAATATTGAAAATAGATAGCTTGAACATTTCTTTGGATAAATACTAAACAAACATGTAGTAAGCTGCATTCCAAGTTTAGAGTGATTTTATTAGGTTAAGGATGAAAATTATTAGGTAATATATGGAAACTTAAATGTTCGCTAGGATTAGTCAGAAAATATAGACATATCATTTCCCACAAAAAAAAATCGTGTGTGTCAGCACTGAAGGTAGACTCGAAATGTGTACAAATTTTAAAGGCCCGATTTGAGTTATATGCAATGTGATTTTTGTACATTTAGACGCTCCCCAGAATTTTGAAACTAAATGAAAGGTAAAAAATATTTTAATAGAATTTCTTTTAATTTTAATATTTCTTTTAAGTTTAAAAATTTGCCTTTGCTGACGATTTCAAGTAGCATTAGCTCTCTCGGCCAAATCTTTTTGTAATGTGTTGCTAGTTATTGGCGTAGCTCAATGATGGGCTACATTCAGGCAAGGCTGAAAATTTTCGGTGCTATTGGTAATTTGGCGTTAGCATTTTAAACCCCGATTATTATGAGACGAGCCTGAATTTGTATACATATATGTATACGCTGTATACACAAAGTTCTTCATTTTTGTATACAAATTCTGAAGACCGCCTAAATGTATGCTATAAAAAGTAATAAAATTAAAAAAATGTTGGAAAAAATGTTATCAATAAAAATTCCGGCCACTAAGAGCCCCAGTAGGGGCTGGAGCCTTCCAAACATTACAGATCGACAGGTCACGCTATATGGGCCTATGTCGAGAGCTTGACCGATATTGAAAAAAAAAACATTCTTAAATGTGTGAATACATGAGCAGCTTGGCGTCATGACCAGACATATTAATGTCAAAGTATAGGGGAAAAACGACGGCAGGATACGTGTGCGGCTCTGGTATTCCTTTATGATATTTCACAAAATATACCATTCGAAAACTTCAAGCTGCCCACACCTTAAGGCGCATTTTAATTCCAAGATACCTAATTGGAATAATTTTGATTGGAAATTCTGGCCAAAACTAAAGAATACAGGAAGTGAGGAAATATCTGGGTTCGGCAGTGAACCTACATTTCAGCAGGAAGGCTGAAGCTTGTAATCTCAGAGAACCTCAAACATCAGGAATCAATTAATTTAGTGGGAAAAATCATTTGAAACCTTCAAAATTGTTAAAATTAGGAGGCAGAAACGTTGTTGACAAAATCGATTGTGCAGGCCATATAAGGCCATTTAAATCGATAGTGCAGGCCATATAAATCTGTGATTGAAGCTTATGCAAATATTGACCGTGTCTGTGACTCAAATGATATTGTGTCGTCCCCAGAGCTCACAAATGCCGAACTAAAGCGGAAATTCCTCTGAAAGTAAGCCTAACAAACGTATACCCTATTTTTCTATATCACTCGAATAAGAGCAAGTATGCTCTTTTCACTTTCCACGTTTCCTATAGTCACGGAGTTACTACTTAGTGGCGCCAAGTAAGATGAAAAAAGGTTTGGCGTGTGCAGATACTATTTCGTGACTTCCAGCGGTTAAAACATCGATAGTTTACAATTATTTACGAATTTAACAAAAATAAGATTTCATTCCATATTAATCCTCACCGTGGTGCAATAGTAGCATACTCGCTTTGCTCTCTGAGCATTGGAAAAAGTACTAATAACAATACAAAAATTAAAAAATAATAAAATTATTTTTTTTTTACTTCCAATAATTGTCGAGGAATTGATTTCCGTGATTATTAGAAGTAACGGTGTGTTCGCTATTTAGTCTCGCTTAAAGCTATGGCAGACATGGTTCATTTCTTCCTGAAGAATATAACTTCCACGATGAGAAAGCGATATCAGCCGCGATGATTTCTATCGCCTAGATGTGACTTCGAAGTCACCTCCGGGATATTTTTTGCTTGCAGGGGGGTTCCTTTTGTTGTTTTTGTACACAAAATCTTTGTTTTTTCTCCTCTTGTCTTATGGAAGCAAGTTTAAGTTTAAATTTACTGAGATTTTTTATCTTTCGTAAACAAAAGAGTGGAGAGTAAACTATCTTGCAAAACTCGAGTACTCCCACTCGCGAGTATTTTTCACTCGCAAGACAAATTGAGTAAAGATTCCCACAAACACGAAATGTTTGCCATTTTCATCCATGCACGCCATATAAAAACTGCGCTTTAAGCAAAATAATTAATTTTTACAGTAACGATCTGGGGTATTACAATCTCAGTTTCCCTACTGAGCAAACCTTAAAAGAGTTTGAATTTCACAGCCTATATTTTTAACGGTTTTTTATACACCACTCAAAAATAGTAAAGGTCCTCAAAGGTTTTTTTTTGGCACTAAAAATGTACCATAACGGTCCGATTTGAGGCATTTGCATGCGATTTGGCCGTAATTGAGTATTTTGGATTCTTAAGGAATAGAACATAAAATGTTCAAAATTATCCATATATATATTTTTTTTTTTCATCAGACCTGAGAAATTCAAAGTAGAGGTGATGGTATTTGGGCAGAAGAGCAAGCCCCCAATTGCAGTTTTAGTTCTCAAGCCATAAATTTCTTTAGGGACTTACGCAAGATTTGGTCCTGGGAGACTGGCCCCGAAATGGTTTCTTTTTTGAATATTTTACAAGGAGGATTCAATATTTTGTTAGTTGGACCACCCCGAAATGGTTTCGAAATTAATTTTTGTGTACTTCGCTGTTTCCAATCTTACACAACATTTAGAAAATGGAACTTGGAACTGTGATCGGCTACGTCAATGGTATCGAAAATATAGAAATATTTTATGTTACAATGTTTTCCAAAATCTGTAATATATAGTTTCGAAATGTAATTTGATATTCCAGGAATTATGTTTTAAAAAATTCGCTGGAAAAAAGTACAATTTACTATTAGAAGAGCACTATTTATATAAACGTTAAAAAACATAGCAGATTTACTATTGTGTCCTCAACAAAATGTTGGATTTTAGAAGAAAACATAAATTCTTGTTGTGGAGGATCTGGAAAGAAAATATATTTTGCCAATTTATTAGAGTTTTTCATTTTGACCTGCGTTGTTATATTTTTCTTTGAATTGTTTTTTTATGTTTTCTTTTGTTTGTTTGGTTTGGTTTTTTTGAAACTCCGATAATTTTAGTTTACAATGGACAGTTTGTGAAACATTGTTAACATTTAGTATTTGATATTCCAGCATTTTCCTTTGCATCATCGGGGCGAGATTTCGATCCGCGCACACGAGCATTTTCTGATGAAGAGCTCAAACCGCAACCCATGATCAAAAAATCACGCAAACAATTTGTTCCAGATGAACTCAAGGATGACAAATACTGGGCACGCCGACGAAAGAACAACATTGCTGCCAAACGTTCACGCGATGCACGCCGTCAAAAGGAAAATCAAATTGCCATGCGGGCGCGATATTTGGAAAAGGAGGTAAGTGGAAATGTCAAGTTAATGAGATTTACTTCTGGAATTCATATTTTTTTTTTTGTTTTGTTTTTATTTTAGAATGCCACATTACACCAAGAGGTGGAACAGCTTAAACAGGAGAACATGGACTTGCGTGCACGTCTCTCTAAATTCCAGGATGTGTAATGCTGATTTTCTTTCTTCATATAAAAACACAAGAAAATAACTATGGTTTACATAAATTATGTATACTAATAACAAAAACCACAACACTTCTTTTCTGTCTGGATTTATAATACCTATACTATTAAAAAAATTAAACGAATAATGATAACAACAGCAACAACAAGAACAAGAAAACTAAATATGTAGTTGAGTAATACAAAAAAAAAAACAAAGAACAACCAAGAAACCAACCAACAACAACAACACCACCTGCGTTTTTTGTTAAAAAAAAAAACAAGTTTTATTGAAATTACAACAAAAATTACAAATTAATATAATAAAATAAAAAAAAATTCAAATCTATACAAGAAACCATGCGATTTTATGTTGTAAAACAAAATCAGAAAGCCTCAGTTGTAATTTTTGTAATTTTTTATGATTTTTCAAGAAATGTAAGATTTTACAAAACTGAATATTTGATTTTAATTCTTAATTTTAGATTATTATCTATAGTTCTCAATGTGTTTGGAAACATTCAAAATGTTAATCTTATGACTTCTTTTTGTTGACCAATTTATCGTTTGTGATTTTACTCGACTTGGAGAAGACATTAAATGCAAAATTTTTTAAATTGGATTTTTCAAAATCTATGGTTTTAATTCAAATTTGTACACATTTGAAATCGGGAAATTTAATGTGTAAATGAATACATTTCTTTGAAAAAATTGTAATAACTAAACACACACACATCTGTCACATATTTAGAGCCACTTAACTACAGAACAAAACAACAAAACTTTCTTAACTTGTATACTTTTTTGTAAATTAGAAAATTTCCTAACTTCTGAGACCCGAAACTGAAATACTTTGTAACCACACTTCTGGCCCTTACCCCAACTATTCCCCAAACATCCCCTATCCCCATCATATAGCTTCTACAAAGCAAAAAAACAAAATAACTCCAAATATCCCACCTTGTACTTTTTCTTCCCCCCCTTACATTTAGTTTTATTTCTAAAATTTTAAAACAACAATAACAACCACTATTTTATTATAATTTGTTTATGTTAAAATTTCTTGTTATAACCTCAAACAACACAATTACACTTATAAGTTTAATTTAAACTGTATACTACTACTACTACTGTTACATGCATACATACATATATGATTATTTTATTTTTCCTCAAAAAAGAAAAAAAAAACGTGCGAAGAAATGTTAATGTTAAATATTTTATTTTAGATTTTTTTCTTTTAATTTTTAATTATTTCTTAATTTTGGTTTGTCGTCTTATAAAGAAAAACTTCAACAACAACAACAATACTTAAAAAGAAAACTACATAGAAAAACAAAATTAAAACAAATACAAAACCTATTTAATAAATGAATTATTAAATATACTATTATAAAAGAAAAAGATCAAGAGCTATACAATATATATATTAATTAAAACAAAAGAACAATAACAAATATCTTAAGAGTATTGGTTTAATTCTTCACATCTTCATACAGCCATTGTGAAAATGAAACATGGTACGTTAGGCTAGGTGACTGGCAGATTTGATAGATATTTTTTTATTTTCCTTGAATATCAGAACAAAACAGACACATAAATAATCCATATTTAAATATGAGAAGAAGTTTTAAGCGAGTGTTATGCTATGGCAAAATCCATATTCCCCAAAGAGACATAAGTAATTATGGCATTTTCGGTTTTAATTTAATTAAAGAAGCAGCAGCATCCAAAGCAGCCTTTTCATTTTTTGTGCCCCTTTTGTTAGTTGATTTGTTTTTTTTTTTTTCAAAAATATGTGAAAACATCTCTAGAAAGGTACACAGAGGAGTCCAAAGGTCAGTTGGCTTATTCAGTAACTTTTTGACGACAGTCAATGTTGTTGTTTTATTGATTTTTCCCCCTTAACAACAAAATTAACAACATTGCCATAACAGTTTTATCAAGTACTGTTATTGGTTTATTGGTTATAAAAACAATAAAAAATTGTACTTGTTAATCCGATCGACAAGAAATTTCAATGTTGAATTTTTTATTTTGAAAATATTAAGCCTTAAAAGCTTTGGAAAGTCCATCTAAAATTGATCTAAAAATTTTCAATTTGGATCAGGCAAAAATGGAACATGTCAAAAATAAAATCTAGTTCCACTTGATTCTTTTAAGGGTGCAAAGGAAGTAACCAACTAACTCACTGTATTATCCGGTTGAAATTATACAACCCCACTCAGCTATAGGAAGAATTATTCACAATAATCTTCTATGGCGTTTTCTTCCTAATGTTCTTCATACCTGGGATTAAGAGTATGTGTACCTTGTCATTTCGCTTGTAACCTCGTTAAGTTTTTTTTTTGGGTTTTTTGTATAAACTTTGAAATTTAATTGTTTATTTTGAAAAAATTAAACCTTGAAAGCTTTCGTAAGTCTATTGAAAATTGATCTACATACCATTATCGTTATCCTGTTTTTGTAAAAAATAATACTTTCACTCGAATCTTTCGTGTTTCATTTTAATTTGGATTTTTCAAATATTTTGGAAGCTCTCGTCCATTCTCAAAAAGCTTTGATATGTCAATGTTTCCATAACCATTAGTTTTTTAATTTTTTTTTTTTATTTTTTCATTAGGAGTTGTGATGGTTGTGGCAACCCCAATAAATTCAAAATTTATAAACAAAAAATTGTAAAATAAAATTGAAAAATGTCGAGAAAACATTTAATGGAAACGGACCAGCAAGGTGCGCCAGGAAAATCTGGATGTGTTGAAATAGTCCATATGTTAATTCCCTAACATACGCATACAATTTTTGCGTGATTCTGTAACAAAGGGCCAATTTCTGTTCAAAACAAAGGTCCTCCTCCTATCGTTTTTTTCTGACATTTTCGTTGGTATTTTTTCGTTAAAAAAACACGCAAGTAGAAGAAAACTAATACAAAAACCCAAAATATATTTTCTTTCGCCAAAATTCCCAATCGAAGGGAAAAAATATTGTTACAATAACAGACTGTAAATAAAAAATAGCAAGAGTAGTTAAAAGTTACCGAATAGGCCCACAGGGCAGAATTTGAATTCCGTCGTTGGTTGACTATTAGATGGCAATACTTTTAAAGTGCGAAACACAAAGCCCAGAATGAAATCCTGATTCCCCATTACCTTTAGGCTTCTTCGTGCAGATTTCTAGAGATTACTACGACTAATTTCGAAAAAATAATTACTTGTTCTCTTGCCTGCATTCAAACCTTTTAATAATATATCTCACAGAAATCAGAACACATTAGAATGTTACCTAAAATTTGACATGCGGTACGAAAATGCTCACCTGAGTCACTAAGTTAACAGTTACGTACGACCTTATTACTCAAATAGGCAAGGACTGAGGTAATTAAATAAAGGTGAGAATACATAAAACGCTTATTAGAATGGCTTAAGTCATCGGCTGGCATCTTCGGAAAACAACAAAGTAGCAAAGGGTAAACATCCAACTAAGTCACCCTAAAACTACTTTGTTCCTCAACGAAGAAGTCAGCCGATGACTTAACAGTACGTTTATATATATGAGGGCTAACCCACTGTGTTTGGATTTAAATTGTCATATCCATTACTTTTATTTCAAATAAATCCTCTCAAAGTAGGTTAACCCTACAAAAAGTTCTAACGTAAACATGGCATAAGCCATTCAAAAAAGCATTTTATGTATTCTCACCTTAAAAATCTATTGTACCAATGTAAAAATCTTCACTTCGAACAATTAACTATGTTTTAATTGTTTATTCAGAATAATTGTTTTTCAGAGTTTTCAATCCCCCAAAAATCAGTAAAACCTAAACAGAATACAAATTAGAAAAATAAATATTTTCAAAATTTGTTAATTGTAAAATTTTGTGATTGAAAATCGTACATTGTTTCGAATGTATGTTTTAATAATAGGAACTAACTTGTATGTAGTACTTTGTTATCCCAGGTTTACACAGTAGTTAAGGCAGTGATTTTCCGGAAGTTAATTATATTTTTCTTTCATATATATTTTATTTCGTAGGTAAAGTAACCGGGTTAACCCAATTAATTGGGAAATCAAAATAAATTAGATTATAGCAAAAAAAAAATTAAATCAATTGTGGGTGATGAATTTTCAGGTTAACCCACGTGGAGATTTATATGTAAACGGTCTATTAGGAACTCTGGCCACTTGCGTTTCCTGGTAAAGCTTTAGGCGTAAAGAAAAGATCTGAACAATTTTTCTACCCACAGTTGTACGACTACAACTAACTAAGACGACAAAACAAGGCCTATATAAGGTCGGCTAAAAATACTAAAATTTAACAATACATTTATTTGTTCTGGAACTTTTGGAATTTGACTTTCTTTCAATTAAAATGTTATGTTTTTGAAGGCAACCTCATTTTTTGAGCTAGCGACAAAAAAAATCTTTAACTTTGAAATTCAAAATTTTGTTTAAAAAAAATCAAGTTAAGGCTGACAACATTGGTATCTATCGGCAGGTCTTAGCGACTACTTTGATTCCATCACTAATTTACCGACAACTTTCGTTAATTACCGAAATTATAAGCGTTTTAATTTTACCAATTTTTTTCGGCAACTCCAAAAATCAAAGAATTCCACTACAGATGGTCTTACTGGCCGACCTTGCATAGGCCTTGAACTTAAATGGCCAATATAGCAGCCAGATTCGAACTGAGAACAAACTATCTTATTCGATTCGATAAAAAAATCGATCGAAATGAATTTTTAAAATGCTCTATTTGGACTTTCTTGAAATTTTGAAATAACTCAAAAAAGTCAAGCCCAACAGGGTCTTCTTTCCCGCTAATTATTCCAAGACATTTTAAGATGCAATTCAATTTTTAATTTAATTTTAATTGTAATTCGCAAAATTTAATTTTAAATTCGAGAAGACTATTTGTTATTCGAAAATTCCCAATAGAATTTCCATTTGTAATTCGAAATATTACAATTGTAATTTGAGATATTCATTTGCTACTCGAAAAATTCCATTTTAAAATTCGAAATATTTCATTTGTAATTCGAATATTTTTTAAGCGAATATTTCATTTGAATTTCGAATCATTTTATTTGTAATTCGAAAAAGCAAATATGAAGCCAATACAAAAATATGTTGTTTCGAATTTCAAATGAAATTTGAATTACAAATGAAATATTTCGAAACTAAAATGAAATTTTACGAATAACGAATGGTATTCTCGAATCGAAAATAAAATGTTGCAAATATCAAATTGAATACAAAAATTACGATATACAAAAGGAATTCTCAAATTTCAAATAAAATTTTTCATATTGCAAATATACAAAAGGAATTCTTGAATTTTAAATAAAATGTTTCGAATTTCATCTGAAAAATTGTAGTTCGAAATCAAAAAAAAAAAAAAAAAAAACATCTCCGATTCTCAAAACAACAATGTAAACAATTTGATTGGCAAAAAAAATTGGAAAATTTTTTAACTAAACATTTTCAATTTGGATCAGCCAAAATTGGAACATGTCAAAAATTATTACAAAAAAAAAAAAGACTAGTTCCACACTTGACTTTCTTGCAAAAAATGTTCTTATAGCTCACATTTATAGCCTGAAATATGACGTCTTTTGAGGGCCTCGGATTTCCAGCCATTAACAAATCTAAAATAGCCATTACCATCATATTGTGGCACAAATGTCTTCAGGCTTATACTGACATAAAATTCTTATTTGTTTTCTATCGCTGGACTTAAAGACTTCAAGGAACGAATGTTGTATCATAATGAGGAATTTAAA